CCAATAGATCCTCCTGAATGTTATACCCTGGACTTTTAAGAGTTGATATTTCTGGAAACTTTTCCAACAAAAGACCTGGATCGGTCAACTCTGACGGCTGCAAAAACGAATGAAACCGTAAATGCAACAGAAGCCAGGACCCGTCCTGTTTAATATAATCGGTCACCAACACAAACATCTTAGTAATGCTGAGGAAAGCATAGGACATTTTACCTTAAAGGGTAATTACAGTTTATTAGAACTTGAATCTTTTTTTGATTTGGGCCAATTTCATTTGTTTCAATCAATTCTTGTGCTCACCAAGTTAGAGTCTGAAGAAGCCTGATGGGGCAAGAGACACAACCAATGAGACAGTCGTACAGGTTTTAAACAAGCGCCTAGGTTAGACCAATTTGCAAGATGTTATTACCCAAACTGTTTGTCTGTAAACATCCACCACAGTTTAGAGAACAACTTCCAGGCCTTGATCTACTGTTCTTGGTGTAGTTCAGACAGTTTTTCACTTTAAATCGGTTTAGCTAATCTGACTGAACTGTTGGTTTGTTTACCAGCAGCACTTCCAAACCAACCAACCAACCAACCAACCAACCAACCAACCAACCAACCAAAGGACCAAAAAACAACCATTGATCCTTTTATAGTTTAAATAAAAACAAAACAAAACAGTGAGCTATATTATGTGGTAAATGTGACTCTTCTAGTTGCATTTACCAGCTGGTTTCTCTCACATGCAAGCAGCTCCAGTAGAAACTGATAAAACGTCCTCATTGGGCACGAGGAGCTCATAGGAGCTAATGGGCCGAGCATAATTCTGCACCGAGTTGCTGCTATCGTTCACACATTTCAGACAGTAATGTTCATGCAATGTTGTTTCACAAAGTACTGACGGAGAGACTTCACAAGATATTAAATCAGATTCTAACATGAAAGAATTTACCCAGCATGAGTGCATGCACACACACACTGTAAACTGGGAATAATTGATGTGAGAAGGGTTTCCTCTGCTTCTGGGGGATTGTGAATAACATTAGCTTGGATATACAGCGTTATGCCATTTACGTGACACAGGACATGATGCCTCAGACAAGATGAGAGGATCTGTTAGTGGATATGTTTGATGTGTTTGCACGACAAGCCAGTGAAGGGGGTGGGTAGGGTGGGTGCAAGTATTCCCAAGCATTACAAGTACATATGAAAAGGGAAGAGAAAAGATGAAGTTGAGGGTCTTACTGGCTTTGAGCAGTATTTCAGTTGCTTGCTGCTGAACTCGGTCTCTAGCTGCCTCTAGTTCACACTCAGCTTCCTTCTGACGGATCTCCACAATTTCTGAGTTCTGGGTCACCTCATCCAGCTGCTTGTTTAAGTCCTGAAAGGAGAAAACTATGTTAACACATACAGTAACAGCCATCAGCAACATTACCTAGAAAAGAACAAAGTAAGTGAAAACCAGACCAAAGTTTAAGTGACTATTGATATATCTCCTGTCAATCAACAATTAAAACTGTCCTGGTCCTTACGAAAGGGGTCACTTGTATGAACCTACAGAGAATTATCACTCATTGTTTAGCTGTCTGTCTTGCTTGACTCTCACAGCATCGCTTTGTGTTTCAACAAGCAGCTGTTTTTGATGAAAAAGCTCTAAAGACACAACCTGCTCAGCACCAAATGGCAAACAGTACAGTTACCGACTATCTGGTGAACACAGCAGAGCATTTCGCCTCTAACGAGCCAGATATATCCCTCAGGAGTTGGTTAAACCAAAAACAAAGCTTAAAGAGATTAAGTATTAGACTTACATCTGCCAAGTGGCCAGAAACACAGCTGTAAATGAATAATAATGTTGCTCTGTAGCTGTTGGATTGCAAATACGCAACTGCTTGCTAACAAGCTTGCTTAAAAGGTCATGATATGTCAAAGTTAAAGTAGGAAAAGTTAGTTATTTATTAGTTGTGATGCGTTTTACAAATTACTATATTCATATTTTAGGTTTTACCTTTGACTCCTCTGAATTTAGAAGTTAGTGATGTTTGACTGGAGTAAAAGTAAATGTTTTCACATATTTATCTGTTATTTATTGGTTATGAGGCTACTGAAGGTTCTGTGAGTTTCACACAACACAACCTCACAGATTACACTGATTAGTTTAATTACTGCTCTGTAATGAGCTATCCTATTTGACACATACAGACCTCTGATAAATGCTTTTTTCATTCTTAAAAAAAGTGCAATACATCCATATTTGAAGCAACTGAGAAACAGACTGTGACAGAAAATGTTATGAATATAAGCACAGGCTCTGAGAAGTGCAAATGAAGATATAGAGCTACTGGGAAGAAGGAAACAACCGCATGCTCTTCACTGATAAATCTATCTTTAAATAAGTAAAAAAAACAACAACAACTAAGTAAATAAGTTGTAGCTGTGCCAACAGTGTGGGTTTTTTTTTCAGACATCTTCGACTGTACATATTGGTAGCATTTTACTAATACTGAAGATCAAGAATGTAAATACTGACTGCTGCTCAATTAATAAGAAGCAGACCTCAGGGAGGGATCTGATGTGCGCACACACACACACACACACACACACACACATACATACACGAACACACAGTAGAGTAGCTGTGTGATTTAGCACTCTGTAAGAACTCATGAGAGGCAATTTCACATCTTTCAATCCCATCAAACAGCCTGCCTCAAACTTAATTACTGCTGCTACGGCTAAGACAAAGAAACCTCAGTATGATAATAACCAGTGAGGAGTCACACAAATTAGATGTGATGTGTGTGTGTGTGTGTGTGTGTGTGTGTGTGCTAATTTCCCAGATGAGCCCATTGCAGGTAGCTGCACTTTGTGACCGCACGGTTTAGATAATACATATATAAAGACTATGTGTGTGTCTCGTACATCTTTTTGAGGACCAATTTGTGTTTTACACCTACAGTTTTTCTGGAAAGTGAGGATATTTTGTCTTCAAAGCGCTTTTTGGGGGTTAAGACTTGGGGTAAAAATTGGTTACCTACATTATTGTGATGGTTAAAGTTGGGATCTTGTTCGTGAGCATCGTTACTAGTACAGCTTATGAGAGTGTGGGTGTATGTGTGTTACTGTATTTTATGTGAGGACCAATTTAAGGGACCAGAAATGAGTTTTAATTTTGAGGACTTTTGGTAAGGGTGTTTTGGGAAAGTGGGGATATTTTGTTCCATCCTCACTTCTTCAAAAGGCAGTTAAAGGGGAAGTCTGCCATTAATTTAATACAATTGTTCTTATTAAAGATGTAATTCTTTAAAAACAGGTCACAAATATGTACTTTCATTTCTTTAAAAAGGATCACTCTTGGGCACTTCAGTTTTTAGTACACATTACTCACACAGGAATAAAAAGTGCATTTGCTGTTGCTGCAACTTTTTTGCAACTAGGGAACATATTGTCTCATTGGGGGTCCCCACAAGTACAGTATACAAACTTGTGTGTGGGAGGCTGGAGGAGGGGTCAGAATAGTTCAAAAGTTTAATTAATTGTATCTCTCCTCATTTATCTGGGTTATAAGAGCAATCTCATTGTTACAGACACGTAGTCTACCTCTGATTCACCTCTCATAAAAAAAAAAACACACAGCCACTGTCACTTCTGTCAATCATCCTTATTAGACATGGCTGAACCCTGCATTGTCATTTAAATAATAAAAGGCCTTGAAAACTAGATGATTTATTTTATCTCACTAAAAGCTTCCACCAACCAGTCCAGATACGCTTTACCTGAGAGTGAAGTATTTAGTCCAAATACAGTGACAGCAGCAATTTAACATAGCTTCAGTGGAGTGTTTCACTTGGGGAATAATTTGTAATTTCTGGCATGCATATTCCTACAGAAGCTTGTGAACAAGTCAGCCATTAATTACGTCTGTCTCAGTTACTCCAAGCGATCATTTGCTTGCTTTGCTTTGGAGATTTTCCCACTAAATCATAAGCTAAAGGAGGATGGCAGAAAAGCAAGAAGCTTTAGCATCCTGACACAAGTGCTTTCGGCTGGTGTTAAGTCGATATTTGATGCTACTATTTCCTACCCATGTGGTACAGTAATTACGCCTTCCTGAGACGGGGGAACATTTTGATTTGGTGCAACATTTTAATTTAGTCTAAAAATGTCACTCTGCTTCGGCGAAATGCTATCATATGGAGACTTAACGATTACTAACTATAGGCAAGAGGAACAATGAGATATGAGATGTGTATTGTCATGATCGAACCAAAGATTAAAACATCTGCTGTGAGCTTGTTAAGGTTAAATTAAAATCTATTATCTCTTAACAATAAACTCTCTGTGGGAGCTGAAGGATTAAGGGATGTGCTCATAGACTGAGGCTGTTATTAAGAGATTATTGTGATATTACCTTAGCAACAATACAACACATCAGCTTTGTACTGTATGAAAGACTAAAAAAAGACAGTTTCTGCCCTCTTATATCTGTTTTTTTATATATATATATTTTATCAAATGAGAGAATCTAGAAGAGCTGTCAAGTGAATCTGGTTTCAAGCTCTGTGGCTCTGTTGTTGGCTCTTTATCTGGGTTACACTTAATTGCTCTGATAACTAATGAATTTATTAACTCCAGGCACACCAGCCACTGCTGACCTTGATCATATTCGCAGTACCACTGAGAAGGGGGGCGACTCTCTCCTGTCTTCTGTGCAATCAGTGATAATTTCACACAAACTTCAGAGCATATCATAACAACAAAACAGACCTACTTAACCAATTCCCCTGGAGCACATGTCAACTATATTTTCAACGGTGGAGATAATCCAGCAAGTGTACTCCAAAGACCTTACAGAATTCAGAAAGTAGACGTTCAAACTAGTCTACTTGGGATGAGCACGGCATTGCTATTTTTGCCTGACGCAAAATGAACACGTCACTGACAGAGTAAGGCAGGAAATGGTACCACACTTAAATGGCTGAGGAATTTGTCCAAAAGAGATACTTAACAACATCCAAACAGCCAAACGTTTGGTAAAATGACCATCATTTAGATTCAGTATGTGGGTGGGTTATGGTAGTAAGTTCCAATCATTTGATCTTCATCTGGTTCATTTCTGAAATGCAGCTTCTCCTTAAAGGTTCCCTGTAGAGTTTCTTGTAAATAAACAAATGTTCCAGTATGTTTACATTTAGTATTTCTTACCAAAATACATTGTGTGTATCCATGAGGTCTAACAAACAAGTTGAAAACATTTCGCTCTCATAAAACCATTTGCAAACCTATTTTTTTTTTTAAAATCCTTTGTTTACATCCATGCTTTGCTGTGTTCCTCCTCACTGCCTTTACTGGTGCAATGCTACATTTCTTTGCTTGCTTTTGATCAGCGACAGAGTGAAAACTACTAGTAGTTGTCAAAAACTGCTCAGGGAACCTTGATGTTATCTAGGAGGGGGAGTTGGAACATGTAGTAGAAACATACTTACAGACTTTAAGTACCTGATTAATAAATAGATAACAATAATGGCTGTCAGACAACTGTTTTGTTTCTCTCTGTAAATCATATAACTGAAAGAGAAAAAGGCGAAGAAAAATGCAACAAATGTATTTGAATTTAATGTTTTCAGCTTAATCAAGCTATCGAAACTCACTCAACGTAATATTTAATGTCCGGACAGTTGTTAATGACAGAAATAGACTCAGACAGTTTGTTTTGAACCTCCACTTCTTGTGTATAAACAAAAGACAGTCTCTGCAGGTAAGACCTTTTTAAGACTAGTATGAATGCAATTTAAGACATATTTCGTGTCCATACTGGCAAAAAAGTACGATGTGAAGGAATATCGGTATTGGTTCCATGTCGGTTTCATTTTGTAGTTACAGCATGATCAATAAAAAGTAATACTAACTTCATCAATCCAATCAATTTTTAAGACCTATATCATATTTAAGACATTTTATGGCTTTGCGGACACACTGACCATCCATGTAAACCCATTTCATCTCATTTCATCCCATATATCCACTTCCTTTTATATACCCATTTCATCATCTGTCACAGAGGGCATATTTTGTAGTCTGTCCATAAAAACTGCATCAGAATTTGTTCAATCAAATTACAGGACTGTCTCTATAGTCCAGTGACAGTAAAAGCATGTGACTCCACTGTTCGGGGTTCACACTCACCTTGACGTTGGTCTCGGCGCCGGCGAGTGACGCCTGAAGCTTGTGGGACTTCTCCCGGTTTTCCCGAGCTTCATCCGTCACCCTGGCCAACTCGGCCCTCAGTTTTCCAAGGGTCTTCTGGAGTGCCGCCTCCTGAGTCTGAAATTCCCGCCGCAGCTCGGCCTCGGTGCGTTTCCATGCCAACAGGTTGTCGGCGGTCAGCTGCTGAGTTCTCTTCATGGCCTCCAGCTCACGCTCATAAAAGGCCTGAGCCTGGGGACAGACAGACAGACTGAGGCGTCTATCACTTGATCCAAACAGATTGATGGGGTTATAAAACATAAAGCAGCAAGCCTCTAGCATGGACTGAGCTTCATTTTACGTCTGTAATAACATACTTTTCTCTCCTTTTTCTTTTCAAATTGCAATTTGAACACATGCTTTGAAAAGCTTTCTCATCAAAATGCAATCTCATGATAAAATAATCAACGCAAGTAAAAGTTGAAGCCAAATTGACTTGGCTGACAGTGTCCTTTGTCAATGAGGCTGTTTTTTTTATAGAAATGAATAGCTTCTAAATGCAGTACTTAAATTCTGCCTTTCTGCTTTCGATGTACACAAAACTGCAGATCAGCAAGGTCGACATAATAGTGCCAATAAATTTAATTTCCCTTCTTTTTTAACCATTAATTATCCAGGAATGTTTAGCAGAGCCTATATTACAATATTTTGTGCTATTTAAATGATATTATTAATATTAAAGTTCAGATTTTTTCATTAAAAGCTTTTTTAAGGGTTTAAAATGGATTCAAATTCAGGGAACATGAACATGATGTGAAGCTCGAGGTTTAGAAGAAAGAAGAAATAGATATTTAAAAATGAATTCTCACCTGAATATATTAGAAAATACTTTTGCATAAATACGTTCACATTTGCTGAAAAACATCATCTGATACTGTACAGGACTGACAGACCATCATGCGTGCACTACGTTGTTCAGAAGACTGCATACATGTAATTCGTGGCTGATACTCCACCCCAAAAGTTGTTAAAACACCAGGGTTGTGTGAACAGTAGTGAATGCCTTCTACAGTGGCTGCGGTACGGTACCTTGCTGAGTTTGGCCTCGTACTCCTCCACCAGTCTCTTCTTGTCCTGTTTGAGCTCCTCCACCCGCTCCGTCAGAGAATCCACCTGTAACACATCAGCACAACATGAGAAGGACAGCTAATGTCTGGAGGGATCAAAAATAACAGAAGGCTGGAGTAGAAACACTATTGTAGGAGAGTCTCTTCACACCCCTTTGGTTTGATGGCAGGGACGTTACTTATAGAAACAGTTTACCCTGCAGTGCTCTAGAGTTGATGTAGCAGGTTAACTGAATGGCTTACACAGTCAACAGTTAATGGCGTAATAAACACAGCTGTCCCACTTTCTCCCTGTAGTCATTTAGTTTGTTGCTTTGGCTTTCCGCTGCTCTACTTTTGCAGAAGTTAGTGTGTTACCTCGGCTTTATGGAGCTGTCCCAGTTTCTCCTGGTCTTTACTGTAGTTTGCGTTCTGGCTCTGGTGGCTGCGGAGGAGCTCCTGGATCTCTTGTCTGTGCTGGGCCTTCAGCTCCTCCAGAGCAGCCCTCTTCTCCTGCTCGAACTGGGTCTGGGCCTGGCTGAACGTACGCAGCTTCTCCTCAAAGGACCGTCGCATCTCCTCCACCTCCCTCGACATGGAGACCACGCGCTGCGTGTGCTGCCAAGGAACACAGGAACGAAAGACTGAGCTGACAGGAGGATAGATTTATGGGTTTGTAGGCTTCACACACCATGGGTAAACTTTTTAAAAAGCCCTAAGCCAGCTGGTGATGTACCAGCTCGGGGGAATTTGACCTTTTGGCTGCCAACCTGCCTGCTCTAAATTAGCACTGAAAATCAGCAAACAGAAGCCCACCATCTGAACAGTAAGCATGCTATGAGTCCAAATATAACAAGTAAACATCATATAGCATTGATGTAGCATTTTGTTAACATGAGGTTGCCTTAGTTAACCAGGTACACATTGATTCTGATAATCAATAACCAAAGACTTAAAGGATGGTCTTTAAATTTGCTCATTAAATAGGGCAAGATTCACGCCTTTCATTTAATTTGGCTGCATAGTCTGAAATTAGCGTTTCATTTACTAAGACAACAGATAATTAAACAATCAGCGACTCACACTAACTACTAGGTGCATTTTGTACCTGAACACAAGCTCGAAAGGTTCCACCGAGCTCCAAACCAGCTCTGGAATCTGGTATTCAGTGCTTTCTTTCTTATGTCAAGGCCTTATGATAACACTACAAACAAGTCCACACCAAGAACAACTATAATAATTACTGTAAATGTATCTTTTTTTCCACACCACAACTTGAAAGCCAAAAAAATTGGCAAACAATATTGTTGGGATCACTTTCAGAGCGATCGGATGAACGATATTGTGATATAAAACCTAATAAAATATAACATAATTTCAGGCTGCAAATCACATAAAAAAAACCTAGAACTACTGCCAAACAGTCTTTAGTGTTGATGGCTTCTTGAAGTCCTCTTTCTTTACCAGAGTATGGATAAAATGTGTCTGCAAAAGACGAAAACTCTTCTATCAGATTGTTAGATTCTCCGAGCTCCTCTCGTCGGTGAACCCATATCCTTCTTTGTGCTTTCCTGTGCAATGTACAGCAGTAACAGCTCATCAGTAACTTTATCCATTGTTCCTATTAATCTGGAGCTGGGGAGGGCGTGTTATTATTCGTCAGTATGGATAGTCACATCGTTATTGTTCTTGGTGTCGACAGCCCTTTTCATGTTCTTTCTTAAATCATCCATTCAGTATTTTTTCCATCACTTTCCTTCTAACTCAACACAAAGCTGCACATCCTCTATCCTCTGTATACAAATCCATAAAATAATGTCATCCATCCATCTATCCAGTCTGTTAACTACTGTTATCGATCTGCAACAGTGTTCGCTGTCTTCCAAAAGGTCATACACGCCATCTGACCTATACTGTACGTTCAAACATGGTACTCCTCTGCCACTGTGTTCAGTTATACAGTACCATACAATGTATATGTAATCAAGCAAAATTATTATCTATAGCAGACTTGAAGGTAGTGTAAGTGATATTGTTCTTGTTAAAATAAGTGTTAAATTGCTCTATATTCCAACAGTCAGAGTGTTCAGTCAATAATATTGCTCTCCCACTCCCTCCTTTCTGGAGTAAACAGAATACATTTTCTGGTATCCCGATCCCACTTTATCCAACCAGGACAGAGAACTCCACAAAAAGGCATCCTGTTCTACCACTTTAATGGACACGTACCAATCAGAAATAAGTATTTTCCTTGAACATGGTATAATAAACTAAATATACAACACAGAACTGGTGAAGAATCTAGTTTACACTTAGATACTTCTTGGGCAGACTGGATAGCTTACAGACTTTAAAGAGTGTAAATACATCCTGGAAGCATTTGAGGCGTAAGAAATAACAAGTGAAAATGGCACCTAAAGGAGTCCTGATCTTACTACTACTACTACACAGCAAATGTCCACACAAACACACAATGGTGATGCTGACGGACAAGAGAGACTCTCCAGCCTCGCAACGGGGGACAAAAACAGACATTAGTACTGATTACCTGCAGCTGTGACTGCAGCATCACGCTGGGCTCAGCTGCCTCTTACCTCTACACACACACACACACACACACACACACACACACACCACATCCTTCCTCTGTCTACCTGAGCCTCGGTGCAAAGCTGCATGTCCTCCACTCTCTGACGGTAGCTCTCGAACTCGGCCAGTGCTTGTCTCTTCATCCTCTCGTGCAGCTCCATGGACTCCTCCAGAGACTGGATCCGCCTCTTCAGGTCCATCTCATCGCTGATCTTGCTCTTGTACTGGAGCAAAGCATGAAGTACTCAGTCAGGCATATCCTCCAAATTTGTTCATTTAATAATAGAAAGTATTTGGAAATGTTCCACCTAAAACACACATCCTTGTGGGATACTTGTGCCAGATTGAGGAGATTGAAATGCAGCAGTTTGTGAGAAAATAACAGAAAATGTTCAGTGCTGCAAAGTGAAAATATCCATAAAAACTCCACCAAACACTACAGTAACAAAGAGGACAGAAAAGATACATTATAAGTATAAATATTATAAGTATAATAAGTATTTTGGGGACAGTAAATAAATGGATTTCAGCTTTAATTAAAACTGCAGTTTTGAATCGGTTGGCTGACGTGCATACACTTTAGATTTGGCCTTGATTTGGCTCATTATAATCCTCAAATGAAACAGAAAATTAAAAGATTAAATTGGTACATTGAGTACAGCTCAGTTCATTATTTTTCAACAGTACACCTTCCCTCTGGATGTAAATGTCTCTCTATATATGTTTAGTTCAAGGTTAGTCACATTGCGGTCAGTTAGGCAAGTCATTCTCATAAGGAGTGATGACTTATGGAGTTAAATAATAAATATTCAGTTGATTAAAGATTGAGTGCTATTTGAATGTGATCTCAGCTCTCTGGTTCTCCAGCGGATCAGTTTAGTGTACAGCAGCTATACAAGACTGTAAAATATACAGTGACAGTGTCTCATCTTGACCGGCTGACCTGAATGTGACTCTTACTGAACACCATGAGTCCATTGCAGCTGTTTAAATCCTGTCCTAAATCAATACTCAACCTCCACTTGCACTTATGCCAAAGAGAACAAAGCCTTGCTGCACTAATTCATTTATTTAACCGGAAAGTTATTTATAACCTTCGAGTTGTCAGTCAAAGGCAATACTGTAATATGCATTTACTTATTCCTTCCGGCAAGCAGCGATTGATTACATTACTTATTTAAAATACTGATCACGTAACACCCACGAAACAGCTTTCTCTCTTCACTTCAAATATCTGCAAATATCAAACATCTAAATGTTCAGGACAGCAAACATCGACGGTATCCTAAAACAGTGGTTCCCAACCTTTTTCCTTAAGTGACCCCTTTTACTGTCACTGAGTAAACTGACGACCCCTCAATAAGTGACATATTTTAGGGATATTTCATATTATTATTCAATGCATAACAATAACAGTACAGAAGCACTGATAAACTGTACAATGATAACAAATAATGAACACAATTGCAGGAAGTTCTGGAGTTTTCCTGATTGTCTGTATTATGTATTTTCTTTTTTAAAATTCAGTTTTTTATTCTCTCTGAAACCTTGCCATTGTTCTATTAGCCCTTTGGTTGTTTTTTGGTAACATTTTTTAATTATCCCTAAATACAGGATCACTATAATATAGTTTATACTTTACTAAAAAACTATTACTAGTATTGTACAGTCACAAAAATAAAATAATAAACTATATTTCGAGTAATACACTGTAATTCTAAAATACAGTAAGAAATTGTAAATTTGTACAGTGAAAAAGTTTCTAATGCAGGTGAGGCTGTTAAGCAGAGAGTGAAGGCTCTGTGAAAATAGCTAATAGCTTCACCGTGATCTTATCCTGCGATACGTTTTTGGACTATTGATAATCCAAACTTCCAAAATAACAATTTCATTTAGTTTTCTTCACATAAATAAATCCAATCAGGTCTAATGCATATTTCTTTTTTAAAGTTTTTTGTTATAACCCTTAAAATCAAGAAGGCATTGTGACCTCTGTGAAGCTTTGTTGTGTCCTAAACTGTAAGTGACATTTCTCATCAGAGTAGGACAGGTAATGTAACTCAGAGAGCATTAACTTCTTATAAAAGTCAGACGTCAGTGCCTTAATGATAAAAGAGTAGAGCGTATAAACCTGTAGTATCTTCTCTCGGGTCTCAGACAGAATCTGCTGCACCTCCTCTTCATGGGCCTCCTTCAGAGTGGCGATGGCTGCCTCGTGTTCGTCGTTTTTCGTGTTCAGTGCATAGATAACCTGCAGCAGCGGAGAGGAACAAAACCCATTAACTCTCAGACATGTTCATAATCAGGAGTTATTACAGCATTAAAACTGGCGGGAGACCAGCTGCACCTCTCAGAGCTCGGGTTCATCCAATATGTTAGGACTGCAGTGGACATTACGGATGAAACAGCAGAACATCACAGCGTGAGGGTGAAACAAGGAAACATGAAGATATTGATGTTTTTAGAATGGAGCCGCCGACGCGCAATTCATTTACATTTCTTCTTCGTAGGATAGAAAGGCTTCTCATACAGCATTTATACTATCTAATATATTTAACTGAAAACCATTATAATGAATTCTACTGTGCTTGGTACTGCACTTAAAGTATGGTTTATAATAATATTATAAACTTAAAATTATGCAATATAATAAGCCAAAAATACTTTAATTTAAATTTAATACAGAGTGTTTTTGTTTGATATATTTTCACAAAATCCCCTCCAACCTATTGCACCATTACAAATGTATGGTCTATCTATGACCACACACAAAGATCAAAGACCAAATGAAAGAAATACAATAAAATAAAATGTAAAACATTTGAAAGGTCTGAAGCGTCCGTCTTTTCTACCTGATCCAGAAGTGGTTGCTAAGTGGGGTAAAAGCCGAGGGCACAGCGTCTTGAAGCATAACAATTTTTAGGTGGGATGATGCATACGATTTCTGATCCATAGACTGGAAGTTGGAGTCTTTTCGTTTAACCAGTACAATAAGTCTCCTCGCCAGGAGCAAAGGCTATCATGTTTTTGCTGCATTGGCTGATCTCTCACAGTACCGTGCTAAATACTTCAAATATAGCATGAGGTTCGATGGATATTTATACGTCAGAAACAAATATTGAATACAGAAAGCCATCCCATATGTGATACAGTGACTGGTGTTGTTCCACAGACACCAATGTCATTTTTTAAGAAGAAGAAAGCTTCCAACCGATATTTAGGCGAACCATAAAAACCCTTCTCACACTTTACATTGATCATCTAGAAAATATTTTACAGATCAAATGAAGACATGAAGCAGGCAGAGAAATTACAGCAGTATTATGATGTTTGTAATGCTGTGATATACAGCTGCATGCAGTACACACAGTGCATGTTCCCAGTATTAGCTCAGAGTATAAGCAGTATAAGCATCAGTGGTGCCCCACAGTTATGAATTAGAAATCAGTTGATGCCTTGTATAGCTGGGGATAAAAATAACACAAGCAAACTGTTGTGCATGAGATTGACCTTTAAATCCATCCCAAAAATACATGCAGCCATCCAGAGAGCCATAATCTGACAGCACAGTGATCCCCTGCTCACAGGCAGCAGAGAGAGGGAGAGAGAGGGGGAGAGAGAGGGAGAGAGAGGGGGAGAGAGAGGGAGAGCGGGGACAGAAATGGGTTTTACATTTCCACATGAAAAACCATGAGACTCTCTTCCCCGCGCGTCTCTCCCTGCCGTGAGGAACCCAAAGCTATGTGTTGCCTCTGTGAAAAACCAAGTCAATAATTCAGCACATTGAACTGTGCGATGGCGCTAAAGAGCCTTTGTTTACTTTGGACCAGAGTCCGTCAACAGAATTAGAAAAGGGGAGAGCAAAGAAAAGAGGGAGAAAAGAAAAGGAGGGCTAGAGCTCTCTTTGAAACAATGACATCCACTTTTTATGCCTAGCCCTGCCTCGCTGGGAGATGAAAGGATTTAGTTTGACAAGTGGTGGTGTTTTTCAAATTCCTACTTGTTTATTCCCCCCACACACTCACTCTGTTTTTGCTGACAGCCACAGAGCCTCGCTCAATAAGAGAAACTAATACACATTATAATCAAGAGGTACTCAGCCATGGGAGTTATTCCCTCATTTGATTTTACTGACCTTTTAATGTGAATATGTCCATCCTTTATTTCCCCTGTATGCTGCATATTAATGCAGTCCACCTAACTGTTAGTGAGTTTAACTGCAACTACACAAGTAAATGCCAGTAAATCCTACACACATTGTTCTTTAATTAAAGTCTAAAATGTTATTTTTTTATGTTTTAATTCTTATATTTTTATACTTATATTCCTGTTTGCACCTGTTCTTCTATCTATCTATCTATCTATCTATCTATCTATCTATCTATCTATTCTATCTATCTGCCATGCTAGCTG